CTGAATTCTGAGATTATCTAATGGTATCATTAATATCACATGCAAGTAAAATTTTGTTGAAGATCATTTACGACTGGCTGCAGCAGTATATTGACGGGGACCTGCCAGAAATTCAGGCCCGATTCAGAAGAGGACGTGGAACCAGGGATATCATTGCTGATGTCAGATGGATCTTGGCTGAAAGCAGAGAATATCAGAAAGATGTTTACCTGTGTTTTATTGACTATGCAAAGGCATTTGACTGTGTGGATCATAACAAATTATGGATACCATTGCTAAGAATGGGAGTTCCAGGACACTTAACTGTGCTCATGAAGAACCTGTGCATAGATCAAGAGGCAGTTGGACAGAACAAGGGGATACTTTGTGGTTTAAAGTTAGGAAAGGTGTGTGTCAGGGTTGTATCCTTTCGCCATACCTAGTCAATCTGTATGCTAAGCAAATAATCTGAGAAGCTGGACTATGTGAAGAAGAATGGGGCATCAGGATTGGAGGAAGACTCATTAACAACCTGCATTATGCAGATGACACAACCTTGCTAACTGAAAGTGAAGAGGACTTGAAGCACTTACTGATGAAGATCAAAGACTGCAGCCTTCAGTATGGATTACTCCTCAACATAAAGAAAACAAAAATCCTCACAAATGGACCAATAAGAACATCACGATAAACAGAGAAAAGATTGAACTTGTCAAGAACTTCATTTTACTTGAATCCATAATCAACACCATGGAAGCAGCAGTCAAGAAATCAAAAGACGCATTGCACTGGGCAAATCTGCTGCAAAAGATCTCTTTAAAGTGTTGAAAAGCAAAGATGTCACCTCGAGGACTATGGTGCACCTGACCCAAGCTATCATATTTTCAATCGCACCATATGCATGTGAAAGCTGGACAATGGTAAGGAAGACCGAAGAAGAATTGATGTCTTTGAATTGTCAATATTGAATATACCATGGACTGCTAAAAGAAAGAACAAATCTGTTTTGGAAGAAGTACAACCAGAATGCTCCTTAGAAGCAAGGATGGCGAGACTACATGTTAAGTACTTTGGACATGTTATCAGGAGGGACCAGTCCCTGGAGAAGAACATCATGCTTGGTAAAGTACAGGGTCAGCGAAAAAGAGAAAGACTCTCAAGGAGATGGATTGACACAGTGGCTGCAACAACGGGCTCAAGCATAACAACGATTGTGGGCGTGGGCCAGTACTGGGCTGTGTTTCATTCTGTTGTGCATAGGGTCGCTATGAGTCGGAACTGACTCAATGGCACCTAACAACAACATCAAATATGTGCCAGGAGCCCTGGTGGTGCAGTGGTTAGGCACTTGGCTGCTACCTGAAAGGTCAGTGGTTCGAACCCACCAGCCGCTCCACGGGAAAAAGATGTGGCAGTCTGCTCCCATAAAGATTACAGCCTTAGAAACCCTTTGGGGCAATTCTACTCTGTCCTATAGAGTCGCTATCAAAATTGACCTAAAGGCAATGGGTTTACTCTATGCCGGCTATTGTGCTAGGGCTTGAGGATATAGTTGAGGATGAGTTAAACTTAGTCTCTGTCCTTTGGGGCTTTGTGCCTCATGGGTCACTTTCTGCTGTGGACAACCATAGCTCTTTCCTCCAGGTGCATATAACACCTCAGAGAAGGTGCACCTTACCTGGGGATTTGGTTCCAAAGTGAATGCATAAGGAGAGATTTAGGTATAGAAAAAATTGGTTGACAATCCTTTAAACTGCACATGAAGGTCAGTGCACTTTGTTTTGTGTTTACAGCTCAAGCAGGAACATTTATGTACAATTGTACACAATATACAGGAAACACAAAAGGACAGGCATGTCTCACTGGACTAAACCAAAGCTAAGAAATTCCTGAATACAACCAAATACTTTGAGGGACAGAGTAGCGGGGGTGGGGGTCTGTGGACCATGGTTTCAGGGGACATCTAGGTCAATTGGCATAACAAAGTTTTTAAAGAAAATGTTCTGCATCCCACTTTGGTGAGTGGTGTCTGGGGTCTTAAAAGCTAGTGAGCGACCATCTAAGATGCATCAATTGGTCCCAACCCACCTGGAGTAAAGGAGAATGAAGAATACCATGGACACAAGGAAAGTATTAGTCCAAGAGACAGAAAGGGCCACATAAACCAGAGACTTCATCAGCCTGAGACCAGAAGAACTAAATGGTGCCTGGCTACCACAATGACCAACCTGACAGGGAAAACAGCAGACAGTCCCTGACAGAGCAGGAGAAAAGTGGGGTGCAGAACTCAAATTCTAGTAAAAAGACCAGACTTAATGGTCTGATTAAGACTGGAGGGACCCCAGAAGACATGGCCCCCAGACTGTCTGTTAGCCTCAAACTGAAACCATTCCTGAGGCCAACTCTTCAGACAAAGATTAGACTGGACTATGGGACATAAAATGATACTTGTGAAGAGTGTGCTTCTTAGCTCAAGTAGATACATGAGACTGAATGGGCAGCTCCTGTCCAGAGGCGAAATGAGAAGGCAGAGAGGGTCAGGAGCTGGTTGTATGGACACAGGAAATCAGGGGTGGAAAGGAAGAGTGTGCTGTCACAGCATAGGAGAGCAACTAGGGTCACAAAACAATGTTTGTATAAATCTTTGTATGAGAGACTAACTTGAATTGTAAACTTTCACTTAAAGCACAACAATTAAAAAAAAATAAAGGACAGGCATGTCTCAATGACAATGTTTTTGGCTGCAAGTAACAGAGAATGTAGCCCAATGTCTTAGCCTGGGTTCTCTAGAGAAACAAAACCGGTAAAGCGTGTAAATATACAGAGACGTTCATATCCAGGAAATGGTTCACGCCGCTGTAGAGGCTGGAATGTCCCAAGCCTGTGAGTCAGGATAAAGGCTTCTCCTGATTCTTGTAGCCACAGGGGCTGGCAAACTCAAGATCAGCAGGTCAGAGAGCAGGGCTCTTGCTCACAGGCTGAGAAGATTGACAAATCCCAAGATCAGCAGGTAAGACTGCAGGTAAGCTGCTAGTTCAAGTCCCAAGTCAGACGAACAGGAGTCAGCTGCAGGATCCCGTGCCAGCAAAGCCCATGAGCTTTGCCAGAATGTCCACTTATATTTGATGCAGGCCATATGTCCAAGGAAACTCCCTTTCAACTGATTGGCTACTTACAGCAGATCCCATCAGGGAGGTGATCACAACATCATATGACTGCCAAACCACTGAGAATCACGGCCCAGCCAAGCTGACACACAACCTTAACCATCACACCCAATTAGCTTAGCTATGGAGGAAAATGCATTATTGCACATAGCAAGAAAACCATATGTACAACAGCTCCAAGGTTCTTTTCTCTTCACACTCTGCCTGCAGGCTGGCTGTTCTCACGATTTCAAGATGACTGCTCTAATTACAGGGATCTTATGCAGACAACATCATTGAGCAGAAGAAGAGGGTCTCTTTCCTCCTTGTGTCTCTTTTTCTAAGAAGTTTTATAGTTCAGCTTTTACACTTAGGTCTATGAATCATCTTGAATTAATTTTTATGTAGGATGTGAGGTAGGGATCAAGATTTGCTGTTTTTCCATTGCAACATCTTTAGTTAAACAAGACTTTCCTTTTCCTACTGAATTACTTTGCCACCTTGGTCAAAAATCAATTGACCGTATATGTCTGGGTCAATTTCTGGACTTTCTATTCTCTTCTATTGATCTATTTGTCCATCTTTTTGTCTTGATTACTGTTGCTTTAGAGTAGGACTTGAAATCGGCAGTAGAAGTCCTCTGATTTTGTTCTTCTGTGTCTCTTTTGGAGTAAATAAATCTTTCCCAGAGACCGTTAATACATGTCCCTTCATGTTCCATTGGCTGGACTGCATCAAATGCCCATTCCCAGACCAGTCACGCAAGGGAAATGGGATCACAGGGGTGACCTAACTCAACAGGATTTCCGTTGGAGAAGGGAAGGAGTTACCCTTCCTTAAGTCATGCAGAAGAGGAATAGACCCCTGAATCAGGAAGCCATGGGGGAAATCCAGTCTTTCCAGGAAGAAAGGAAAAACATTAGGATTGGGGGCTGTATTGGTTTCCTAGGGTTGCCGCAGCAAAATATCACAAACTGAGTGTCTTATAAGAACAGAAACTTATTGTCTCACAGTTCTCAAGGCTGGGAGTCTGAAATCAGGATGTTGGCCATGTTGGTTCCTTCTGAGGCTTTAGGGAAGAATCTATTCCATGCCTCTTGCTTAGCTTCTGCTAGCTTCAGGTATTCCTTGGCTTGCAGCTGGAGCATCCTTCCTCTGTTTCTCTGTCTCTGTGTCTCCCCTCTTTTATAGACACCAGTCATATAGGATTAGGGCCCCCCTACTCCAGTATGACCTCAGGTTTTTTGTTTTTCATTAGCTACTGTAGAGTCAGCCTCAACTTATGGTGACCCCATGCACAAGGGAAGAAAATGCCACCCAGTCCTGCACCATCCCCATGATTGGTTTTGGATTGGACCCTTGTGATCTATAGGGTTTTCACTGACTGATTTTCGGAAGTAGATTACCAGGCCTTTCTTCCTAGTCCATCTTAGTCTGGAAACTCCACTGATGCCTCTTCAGTATCAAAGTAATTCACATGCCTCCACTGACGATGGGCAGCGGCTGTGCGTGAGGAGCCTTGGCCAGGAATCAAACCCAGGTCTTCAGCATGGAAAGGGAGAATTCTACCACTGAACCACCAATGCCCCCATGACCCCAGCTTAACCTAAATGATAACATCTTCAAAGACTCTAGTTCCAAACAGGGTCACATTCACAGGTACAGGAGTTAGGACTTGAACACATCTTTTTGGGTGACACAATTCAATCCATAACGGAAACCAACGGTGTCTGCTAAAATATACAAAACAGTTATGCAGAATTTTTAATTATGAGAGAGAGAGAAAGAGAACAAAAGAATAAAAGGGACAGACAGTAAAACCTCAACTCATTCTGGATATTCTTGCCACTCACCGATGACAATGATAAAGGCGACATGGTGGCTGTAAATGACAATAAGGCTCAGTATACTGCCCGAACAGTAAGCAGTGACCCCTGCCAATGGGGCGTGCTCCTTCTCCCCGGAGGACAGTGCCAGGAGCTCAGTGACACATGAGCTGCATCCAGGGGCCAATGGGCCAGGTCTAGGTGGTTGGGAGTGAGTCTTGGAGTAGTCGGCTCTTGTTTACATCATTTAATTGTTTGGTCTTGAAAACATGGGGATGGGCAATAATTCCTGTGTCTCTTGAGCTTCTCAGACATTTCTTGGGGTGGTCTCAAAGCATCCCTTATGGTACATGTGATTTGCAGGCCTGGTTCCATGGAGGGATTGGATTCAGCGGTAAATCACTTAAGTGTCTGGCAGCTTGGAACACTGGGCAAATTCACGCGGATTCAAACTTCCTGGCTCCTCCTGCCTGTCCTCAGTAGCTCCATCATCCTGAGTTGTTTGTCAGTTCTTCTGACTCTCTGTTAGTCCTGTTTGCCACTGCCTCCACTGAATTCTTTAATTCTTTCCTAGAGAATAGACATGAATCTTTGAAACAGTGTTTACTTCTTGCTCAGGCCCTGCCTGTGTGTCCACAGAACTGTGGGCAGAATTGCCTGCTTTATTTACACAGTTATTGCTCTCTCTCCTCTCTTTTGTCCAGGCAGTTTGGTTAAATATGGGTGGGAACTGACATTATTGCATTTCAAAGGTGCTAACCGTCTCAAATGTGAGTCCTGCCCAAGGAGTTGCTAGAGAGGACTGTGCATGTGTAAGAATGGCACTGAGTCTGTGTTGGCTCTAGAAGAAGCTCTACTCTCGATTCCTGTACAAACATTCTTCCACATTTCAAAGGCAGTGTGGAGTGATGGCGTGAACCACACACTATGGACGGGGCAGACGGGGATGCAAAGTCCAGCCTGAACTCAGGACTTCACCTCTCTGAGCCTCAGGTTAATTTGTACAAGAGGAGTAAATATTGATGTTAGAGGTTGTTGCAAGGAATCTAATGAAGAGGTGTTTAGCACAGTGTATGACACTCGATAAGGGTTTGGCAAATGCTAGTCACCATTGTTCCTGGGTAGTGTAAACGGTTAGCGCTTGACTACTAATTGTAAAGGTTAGCGATGGAAACCCACCCAGAGGTGCCTCAGAATAAAGGCCTGGAGATCTGCTTCTGAAAGATCACAGCCTTGAAAACCCTATGGAGTGCAGTTCTACTCTGCAACACATAGGATCACCATGAGTCAGAACTGACTCAACTGCAACTGGTTTGGTTTGGTTGGTTTTATTCACCGTTAGTATTTTCACTCTTTCAGAAGAACAGATCTGAGTTCCTCAGGAAGAGGGTTGGAGTAGAACAGGATGAGTGGTGGATGTTACTATCACAGAAGATCGAATAGGGCCCAGACTAAGATGCATTTAGAGAGAGGAATATAGGGAAGCATAAGGAAGGACCAACGAGCCCTTGTGGTGCAACCACCAGATTAAGTGCTCGGCTGCTAACCAAAGGGTTGGCAATTCAAACCTACCCAGTGGCTCCACAGGAGAAAGATCTGACAATTTGCTTACATAAAGATTATAGCCAAGAAAATCCTATGGGGCAGTGCTACTCTGTCACATGGGGTTGATATGAGTTGAAAATTGTCTCGACAGCACCTAACAACAACAAGGAAGGAACACTGGTAGGGAGAGGCCGTTTTTCTTTGGGCAGCTGAGTGTCCAGAGCCTTGGGTCCTGACCCAGCCCCTCAGCTGGTCTTGGATCTCCAGTGAAGACACGGAGGACGGGCTAGAGCTCCGAGTCAGGCTGAGGATGGCAGGTTCTCCATAGCAAACGTGTGTGATATTAGGAAACCAACAACTCCACAGAGACCGCTCCTTTTGGAAACAGGGGAAAAATGTGGAATATCTTGAGTTCAAAAATGTGGGGCTCCAGGCAGCCTGAGTAAGTGGAGGTGGTGAGATGGAAACTGATGGATGAGGCTCGGTTGTGCTTTCTCTCGGCTTTCTGTGCTCACGAGCAGCTTCTTGGGCTCACTCACTGAGCATGGCCATGGTCACCTTCTAGGGAAACCCCGAGCATCCAGAGAGACCCGTGCTCGGTGCAGCACCCTCGGCCACACTGGACGGGCAGTGGATCAGGGTCAGACATCACCTTTTGATGTGCCCTTTCACAATAACCTTGGGGTCTGCTTTGCCAAGATGAGATCAGGGCCAGATGTTCTCTTGAATCCTTCCTGAGTCTCCAAGAGTCCCCTTGGCTGTGGTTCTGGACTGGTGGGGCTGGAAAAACATTGGAGGTCAACTTTTTATGTCCCCTCCCTCTCAAATCTTTTTGCAAATGGGGAAACCAAGGCCCAGAGACGGGGAGAGCCCTGTTCAAGGTCACATGAGACTCCAAATCCATGGTCTCCTTTGCCCCTCCATGAGCAACCTCAGGAGAAGGCCTCTTGCTTTCTTTAGGGCCAACTCAGCTCTTACTTCCACAGGAAGTAGGTTTAGGGATTCTTGATACCTACAAGATGTACTCTCTGAACTTCTACAGGGACCTGTCTGACATGCAGACTGGGTCAGGTTGTTTTCCTGCCTGACACTCTTCAATAGCTCCGCAGTGCTTTCGGGGGTGTGTGGGGGGAAACCCAAGCCTTTTACCAGCTAGTTAAGGTCGTTCAGGATCCGGCCTTTGCTGTCTCCTCTGCCATCACCCTCCAGTTACACTCGTGTCCCCTGCCTTTGTGCATGCTGTTCCTGCTCCTCAAATGCTCTTCCCCTCTTGTTCTCTAAGCTGCTCAGCCTCACTTGTGGCCTCCTCTGACCCTTAGGCCCAGCCTCTCCTTCCTCTGAGCCCCCAGAGCTCTTGGTAATTCCTCCATTAGCACTTATCTCATTGACTTAGAATTACTTGTTTACACATCTCTTCTCCCCAGGGGAGGAAGCATGTCTTACCATCTTTACACCCCCTTCCCTAATAGTGCCTAGCAGAGTGCCTGACCCATAGCTTAGGCTCAGCAAAAGTCTGTGGAATGAAATCACCAAAGGACCTGTTTGTCCCCAGATGTCCCCTTCACTGTGCCTGAAATGTCACCCTTCGTGAGTCCTGCCTGGTTCCTGGCCACTGTTTGCCTTCGCACAGCTGGAGCCTCTCTTCTTACTCCAACAGCTGGCCCAGCCCTGCCCAGACTCTGGGGCCAATGGAGGCCATAGCCAAGGATATTTAAAGGGCCAGCATTCCGAGGTGCAGGTGACTCAATCTCCATGAGCTTGGCTGCACATTCCACACCTGCCCTGGGTCTCCGGACCTGGCTTTCACCATATCCTGTGAGACAGATTGCTCCTCGGGAGACAATTTCCCTGGGACCCCAGCCCTTCTCACGCAAGGCACTTGCCATGGTCTAGAGTTGAACCCCTGAGGATGACCCCCGTCTGCTGTGGCCAGCTCCTAGCTCCAGGCCTGAAATCTGCTGCCTTATTTAGGCCACACACTTCCACTGGGCATGTGCTTGTGCCAGGCATGTGGTCTCTGCTGTCACAGTTGAGGGGAGGGGGCAGACCCACAGAGAGTGACACTGACAACACAGTATGGTCAATGCTGGGGCAGGGGTCTGATAAGGGGCTGTGAGGTTGCAGGGCAAGGGTGGTGAAATAGCCTCAGAGGTGGGATCTGAGCTGGGGTTGAAGGGGGAAGGAGGAGATATGCAGTGGGGGCTTCCTTCTAGCTGAGGGCTGTGGAGGGGCTGGGGCTGTAGAAATCTTCCCCCACTCAGAGACCCAGTGCCCTCAGCCATGTCCATGGGCTGCCTGTCCCTGTCCTGGGAGCCTGGTCTTCTTGGAGGAGGGATTGGAGGGTGAGGGGAACAGAGCTGCCCTTTCTCACATAGCTCTCAAAACCAGGCATGCCCACCAAAGCTGTTTGTTTATTTACCCAACCACTATTTAGTGAGTCCTCACCATGTGCCAGGGACTGCGCTGGCAACTAGGAGCTGACATAATGGGGACCAAGACTCAGCCCTGCCCTCAAGGGGCACATAGTATCCTAGTGAGGTGGGGAGAGGCCATAGACATGAGACAGGAGAGCACAGCCTGAGGTGAGCGTTGGTGGGGTGCCTGAACAAGTCGAAGGGGCAGGAGGGAGGAGTGCCAGTGAGGGGATGGCTAATAATACACACTAAATAGTACACTTGTCCCAGAACCTTCACAACTTCCAAAGAGGGCAGAAGTGTATCATCCAACCTCTGGATTCACCCGATGATCTGTGACAACATTTAGGGAGGCAGCAGAGACCAAGGGCTTCTCCATCACTTGAGAACTGTGTGGGCTTGGCTAGTGACGCCACCTCACAGAGCCTCAGTTTGCTCATCCATAAAATGGGTTTAATGTTAGCATCTCCAAGGGTTGCAGTGAGAATGGAAGGAAATAATAACTATTGAAAACTCTTAGCACATGGTAGGGGATCAATTTATGGTGGTTGATTGTAAATAATAGTAACAATTACAATAAATTTGGGAAGCACAGAACCCTGCGGAAAGATGACGCCTTGTAGAGTTTGTGTGTGTGTGTCGGGGGGGGAATCTCTTGGGGGGCTGGGTGGGAGATCCGCAAAAGCCAGGGCCCACTTTGGCTAACCTGGGGTGGGGGCGGAGAGAGGCGTCGCGTCGCCCCCTCGCCCTCTGGCTCCTGCAGCAGATTGAGCCCGGGAGCGCGCCGTTGGTAGGAGACGCAGGTGTTTGCTCGGTTCCGAGCATCCTCATCCTTCGCCACCTTGGCGACGGCCCCAGCTCCCTTCGGCTAGCCGCCCTGCGTCCTCCCCTAACCTCGGGTCTGGACTGGAGAGCAGCGAGGCCGGGAAAGTTTGAGTCACGGTGGGGGGAGGGGGGCAGGGGAGGAGGCGGGCCCGTGACCCTGAACGGGATGCGCTCTAGGACCCGCCTCAGGCTCCCAGTAGGGGGACCCCGCCGGGAGCCCCTGTCCCGCGCGCACCGGCCGTGGCCCAGCCGGAGCGCGGCGCCGCTCTGCAGTCGCGCGTCGGGCGGCCGCTGGTGCATTCGGGCGACCGCGACGTGCTCCAGGCGACCTGCGCGCCTCCACCCGCAGCAGTCGGCCGCGCTCAGCAGGATGCTTGCGGCGCCGCTCTTGTGGCTGCTGATGGCCGTCTCTGCGGCAGCAGCCGTGACTGACGCGCCCGAGATCCCGCTGACCCCTACCGCGGGGGGCGCCACCCTGGCCTTCGTCTTGGACGTCACCGGCTCCATGTGGGACGACCTGATGCAGGTGATAGACGGCGCCTCGCGCATTCTGGAGCGCAGTCTGAGCGGCCGCAGCAAGGCCATCACTAACTTCGCGCTGGTGCCCTTCCACGACCCAGGTAGCGTCCCCGTGGCCCCCGTCGGGCGCTCAGTCGCGGCGCGCTCACCCACCCGCCGGTGACTGCACCCTGGGGGTACCTGGACGCCCATGGACTGCGCGGCGGCCAGCGGGCACCTTCTCAGGCGCGTCCACCCTGCCTGGACCGCGGGCCCTTGGGGCAGGCCTTGCAGCCGCCCCTTCTCTCCCCGGACGCCTGCTCACCCTCCGCTCCCGCGCCTCCTGGGTTCTTGCTGTCGGGCTCTTGGTGGAGAGTCGGGGTAGGGGGAGGAGGGGTGCCACTTCGTTCAAATCCTGTGAAGCCATTTCCTGGCTGTGGGACTTCAGCAAGGGACCTCACCGTCCGGGCCTTCACTCCCCTCATTTATGAAATGCGGCGAGAAGCGTCTAGAGCAGTTGAAAGGAGGTATTCGTGTCAAGGGCCTCGCATGGGATGAGCGTTTGCAGGATTCACGTTTTCACTTTTGTTAATACTTAAAATTTGCTCTCAGCCTGGGCCTTGGAGGCCAGAAAAGCCCAACGGCAGGACATGGGGTACACCGTCGAACGCACGGAGGGAGCAAACTCACCCCTGCCCTGTCTTGCCCCTCGCCTGTTCTCCCTGGGAAAACAGCAGCACCCCTTACTTAGGGAGGTGTACCCTCGCCTTTGCCTGCCCTGTTCTCATTGCCGTCCTGGCCCCCACATTGTCTACCCTGCAGGCATCCCGTCCGCTTTCCCAGGATCCCCCTTCCTTCAGCACAGTGTTAGGGACCCACCCCTGAAAGGGGTCCCTTCGAGACGGCACTGTGGGGAGTTTCAGGGAGAACACAGTAGGGTGTATTTGAGGCTCCTGATCTTGAGTAGAAGGACCGCTCCCCACCCTTACAGAAAAACTTACAGAAATTTTGAAAAAAAAAAATTGAACATCTGTATGCCCACCACCTAGATTCTACAATTTAATATTTTGCTCTATTTGCTTTATCACGTATCTCTCCATCTATCCACCCCTCCATCCAGGATAGCTTTATAAAGCCGTAGATACATACATAAATACATTTCGAAGATCTCCTGCAAGTTTGTACTGCGGAGTGTTCTTCTGCTGAGAAGATACACAATGACCAAAGGCTATAGGAGTTAGTAAGCCCTTTTAGAAAAATTTGCATTTGTTAATCACTCCATCATTGTAGATATTTGAAAAATAAGCAACAACGGGCAAGGCATGATTCCATGCAGTCTTCAGGTCGCGTTTGTTGTCTAGGGGCTTCCAGGCCCCACTGCTTCCAGAAATTCTGGACTCCCCAGGGCTCTGCAGCCCGAAGCCCAGAAGCCAGGGATCTGGAAGGTTTCTAGGAACATCAAAAGGACAGTCCTGACCTGGGGGTCAGGGGACAGCAAGGCTGAAGGAAGGTGGGGAAGGTGTAGTGAGGAGGTGGAGTGTGTGGCATGTCCTAGGGCTTCAGTGAGGACGCGGATCACCCTCAATGCCCCTAACTCTCTCACCCCCTTTCTGGATTGCCCTTGGGCTTCCGAAGACATTATTACATTGAGGGAGTTAAGAGGTCCTATCTAGTTCACCCCTGTCTTACAGTTGGGGAAAGCTGAGGCTCAGGACACTGATGGGACTTACCAAAGGCGACCTGCCAGGGTGACTTAATTTCTGATTCATAACCCATATTTGTCTCTAAAATACTTGGCTTCATTTGCAAGGCAGGATAACAGCCTTTCAGAGCCAGACATAGTGTCCTGAGGCCCAGACCAGAGCTCCTGAGGGCTGTCCCCACTGCGCCCACCTCTGACCACCAGCTTCATGAAGCTCTCCTTCCATCTCCCAACCTATACTTTCTCTCTGGGCCCTGAGCAGGTGTGCAACTCTCCAAGCTTCTCCGGGTTCATCCCATCATTCTATCCTCTAAGAAACAAAAGCCCAACCCCTTTCACCCCATTCCCCAAACCATCTCCCTCCAAACACCCGGGTCCAGATGTGGAAGGGGACTTCAGTGCTTATTGAGCACCTGTTGTGTGCAGAGCCCTGTGAGGCTTGCAGTGTTAACTGGGCAGGCTTTGTGCCAAGAAGCTGGCAGTGTGTTGGCGACAGGTCAGGAGGAGAGTAGAAAGCGTCATGTGCTATCTCAGGTACAGCTCCTGACCATCAGTCATTGAGGGAGGGGACTAAAAAAAGGCTATCTGAGCAAGAAGCACTGGAACAGGGTTTGAAGAACATGAATAAGTGTTTGTTGGGCTCTGACTATATGCTGGCTGATGCTAGGTGCTGGGGCTACAGCAAGGACAGAGGGTTCCCTAGGCCTGGCTTGCTGGGTAGTGGCTAAAGGATGGTCTGGGTGGTTAACACTTAGGAACAGGTGTGTGGGGAAGACAGGGTATAGGAAGAGTGAGATGGGAAACATGGGGAGGGGAGAGATGGGGTTGGGCTATGCCTGCCTGGCTGAGACTTAGCAGGATTGAGATTTCCTTCTGGGGGATGTGGAGCAGCCACTGAAGATTTTCTGAACAGCAGTTGGAGCTGCGGTTTAGGTTTAGCTAAGTCTTTTGAATCAGCAAATGGAATTCCCTTTGGTAGAAGAGGCCCTTGAGAAATAGAGGTTTTAGCCCACCGTTGAGGTTCCTAGGGCTACATACTGAGAGCTTTTTAAAAAGAAAGCCCTATCTTAAGCCCCAAGATGGAGGTTGGAACCAGCCTGGCTTGGGGTGTGCAAGGCGAATATAGTGGTTCTGGGCTGCATACACCTGGAAATAAACCTTATGATCGGTGCTTTGGAAATGAAAAAAAAAAATTTTTTTTAATGATAAAAATCGTGTGTTCCTAGAGTAGAAAAGTTATAATTTGGCTAACTATGTCATTTTGGAAGGGGCCCTAGTGGCACAATGATTAAGCGCTCAGCTGCTAACTGAAAGGTCAAAGGTTGCAGCTCACCAGCTGTTCTTCCGGAGAAAAGACCTGGCGATCTGCTCCGGTAAGATTTCAGCCTAGAAAACCCTACAGGGCAGTTCTACTCTGTCCTTTATGGTCATTCTGAGATGGAATCCGCTCAACAGCACACAACAACAACATGTCATTTTGGCTGAAAATTTAAATTGTTTTTCATTTTTCTCTATTACTGTTGCAAAAATACTGTTGTATGTAAATCTTTGTCTGCATCTTTGATTGGTTTTCCCCTTAGGATTAAGTTCCTCAAAGTGGAATTCCTAGCCCATTTTTAAGGCATCGAGTAGATTGTTTTCCAGAATGTTCTGCAAGTTTAAACTTCTTCCAGAAGCATTTGAGGGCCCATTTCAGTGCAGTCGCCCCCGACACTGGGAATCAGGAGCAAAACATATTTTTTTTCTAATTCGAAAAGTGGAAAATAACATGTCATTGCTTTGCTAGTGAGATCCAACACGTTTTCAAATGTTCACGAGATTTTTTTTGTGTAGATTTCTTCTTTTGTACATTGTCAGTTTCCTTGTTCACTTTTCCATTGGGGTTTTAGTGGTTTTCTTATCATTTGGCAGGAGTTCATACTGATGATATTCTGGTGTTTTGGTATATGGTTAGTGTTTTTCCTGGTTGTTTGCCTGTTAGTATTGTTTGTCATTCCCGATGTTCTGCAGTTTTAAATGTTCAGGTAGAGAAATCTGTTGTTTTCCCCTTTCCGATTTCTTCCCTTGCATGCTTAGCAAGTTCGTAAAATCAATTGGACAGCTGTTCTAGGTTTTTGTTTTTAAATATTTTCTCTCTTAACATTTAATTCTTTAACCTGGAATTTACAAAAAAATTGGTGCCTGGTGTAAAAAAGAATCTAATCTAATTCCTCCAGAACGGGGTAATTAATTGTTCAGGTACATTTTATCAAACAGTCCTTTCCTTTTCATTCATTTGGATCCTGCCTGAGTCCCAAATTACTTCATCTATTAGGACTTTATCTGGGCTTCCCATTCTGTCCCATTGTATGATATGACAATTCTTGTGCCGGAAACACACTATAATAATTATTTGACCTTATAATGTGTACTAATAGGGATAATTCTTCCTCACGTTATTTTTTTTTCAAATATTTTTGTTTAGTAAACTTTTAATTTTAGAACAGTTGATTTACAGAATTATTGCGAACGTAGTACAAAAAGTGCCCGTAGAGCCTACACCCAGCTTTTCGTATTGTTAGCATCTTACATTATTAGTATGGTACATTGTCACAATTAATATGATACATTACTGACTGAAGTCCCTACTTTATGTAGATTTCCTCAGTTTTTCTCTAATTCCTTTTTCTGTTCCAAGATGCCACTTAGAATACCACGTTACATTGGGTTGTCATATCTCCTCAGACTTCTCTTGGCTGTGGCAATTTCAGACTTTGTTTTTGATGACCTTGACAGTGTTGAGGAGTACTGATCAGGTATTTTGTAGACTGTCCCTCAGTTGGGATTTGTATGATGTTTTTCTAAAGGTTGAACGGGGGAAATTTGTCACTTCATATCAAGGGTACATGTCGGTGTGACTTCTCGCGGTTGGTGCTGGCCTCGATCACCGGGATGAGGTAGTGTCTGTCAGGTTTCTCCACTGCACAATTTCTCTCTCTCTTTCTCTTTTTCCTCTTCCCTTTCCACACTGTACTGTTTGGGAGAAAGTCACTTTGTGGAGGGATTTTTGCTTCACCTCCTGAGGATGGAATATCTCCATAAATTATTGGTAATTCTTCTGCACGGGAGATTTGTCTATTCTCCCCCATTTGTTTGTTTAGTCAACCATGTATTTATATCAGTGTGAACTCATGGATATTTATTTTATACTTCGGGTTATAATTTAGTACTACTTTATTTTCTTGCTCAAACTGTTTCAGCCTTGGTCATTGGGAGCTCTTTCGGTTGGCTCCTGTGTCCCTTTGACATACTCGCAAAATTGTGTGTGTATGTGTTTTCATACTTCCTTACTTTCTGGATCTGCAAGACGCTCCAGGCTCATCTTGTATATTTCCGGCCCCAGTTCTAGAATTAGTCATTTCTCCAAAGAGTCCTGGTTCC